CCCCTCTTAGTGCGGGTTGACTGGGCACTTTGTCGAACATGTTCGGGAGACATCGAGTTGTTCCCCTCTTAGTGCGGGTTGACTGGGCACTTCGAACATGTTCGGGAGACATCGAGTTGTTCCCCTCTTAGTGCGGGTTGACTGGGCACTTGTCGAACATGTTCGGGAGACATCGAGTTGTTCCCCTCTTAGTGCGGGTTGACTGGGCACTTTGTCGAACATGTTCGGGAGACATCGAGTTGTTCCCCTCTTAGTGCGGGTTGACTGGGCACTTTGTCGAACATGTTCGGGAGACATCGAGTTCCCCTCTTAGTGCGGGTTGACTGGGCACTTTGTCGAACATGTTCGGGAGACATCGAGTTGTTCCCCTCTTAGTGCGGGTTGACTGGGCACTTTGTCGAACATGTTCGGGAGACATCGAGTTGTTCCCCTCTTAGTGCGGGTTGACTGGGCACTTGTCGAACATGTTCGGGAGACCTCGAGTTGTTCCCCTCTTAGTGCGTGTTGACTGGGCACTTGTCGAACATGTTCGGGAGACCTCGAGTTGTTCCCCTCTTAGTGCGGGTTGACTGGGCACTTTGTCGAACATGTTCGGGAGACATCGAGTTGTTCCCCTCTTAGTGCGGGTTGACTGGGCACTTTGTCGAACATGTTCGGGAGACATCGAGTTGTTCCCCTCTTAGTGCGGGTTGACTGGGCACTTTGTCGAACATGTTCGGGAGACATCGAGTTGTTCCCCTCTTAGTGCGGGTTGACTGGGCACTTGTCGAACATGTTCGGGAGACATCGAGTTGTTCCCCTCTTAGTGCGGGTTGACTGGGCACTTGTCGAACATGTTCGGGAGACATCGAGTTGTTCCCCTCTTAGTGCGGGTTGACTGGGCACTTTGTCGAACATGTTTGGGAGACATCGAGTTGTTCCCCTCTTAGTGCGGGTTGACTGGGCACTTGTCGAACATGTCGGGAGACCTCGATTCCTTCGCCTCTTGGTAGCGATCTAAATCGCGACTTTTTGGACATGTTCAAGAGAACTCGTTTTCTCTCATCTTAGTCCGGGTCGAAAGTGCGACTTTCCGAACATGTTCGAGAGACCTATAGTTTCCCCTCTGCCGGTTATGTTCGAGAGACATCGATACCCCCTTACCTGAACATGTTCGGGAGACCTCGAGTTGTTGGCTTTTTTGCGGACATGTTCGACTGCTCCGAGGATGTGTGAGTGTCGGAAAAAAAAGAAACAAATCGTAGAACAAGGGCTAATCTCAGCAGATCGTAGCAACAAGGCTACTCTACTGCTTACAATACCCCGTTCTTTATTAAGTCGTCTGCAAATGATTAGCTCTGGAAAATTTAGATTTGATCGTTAGTGCTTGGAGCATTGTCCGCTCCGTGGGCACGTTGTGACGCAGGAGGCGCGAATGATCGCGTCTCTATTCGTGTTCGCTTAAGTCGTCCAGAGAAAAGGAATCGTTGCGTTCTAGCACGGATTCTGATTTAGAGGCGTTCAATCATAATCCAACAGATGGTAGCTTCGCACCATTGTCTTTTCAGGCAAGTGCATGAGCCAATTGTCTGAATCTGCGGTTCCTCTCGTACTGAGCAGAATTACTATTGCAACAACCATTCAACAGTAGGGTAAAACTAACCTGTCTCACGACGGTCTAAACCCAGCTCACGTTCCCTATTGGCGGTGAACAATCCGACGCTTGGCGAATTCTGCTTCGCAATAGGAAGAGCCGACATCGAAGAATCAAAAAGCAACGTCGCTATGAACGCTTGGCTGCCACAAGCCAGTTATCCCTGTGGTAACTTTTCTGACACCCCTAGCTTAAAACTCGTAAAGACTAAGGGATCGATAGGCCATGCTTTCACAGTTTTCGTATTCATACTGAAAATCAAAATCAAGTGAGCTTTTGCCCTTTGCTACATGAGATTTCCGTCTCATTGAGCTCACCTTAGGACACCTGCGTATCATTGACAGTCGTGCCGCCCCAGCCAAACTCCCAACTGACAGTGTCTTCGGCTCGGATCGACCGGCAGAAGAGCGATCTTAATGCTAAAAAGTGGACGTTGAGGTCCAGCTCCGCTTCACCGAATAAGTAAAAAAACGATAAGAGTAGTGGTATTTCACCGGCGGATTGCTCCTCCCACTTATTCTACACCTCTCATGTTTTTCACAGAGTCAGACTAGAGTCAAGCTCAACAGGGTCTTCTTTCCCCGCTGTTGCTGCCAAGCCCCCTTGGCTGTGGTTTCGCTAGATAGTAGATAGGGACAGTGGGAATCTCGTTAATCCATTCATGCGCGTCACTAATTAGATGACGAGGCATTGGCTACCTAAGAGAGTCATAGTACTCCGCCGTTACCCGCGCTGGAGAATTACTTCACTTGACATTCAGAGCACTGGCAGAAATCACATTGCGTCAACACCAGTCACCAGCCATCGCAATGCTTGTTTTAATTAAACAGTCGGATTCCCCTTGTCCGTTCCAGTTCAAGTTGGTTG